GGGGGGGGGGGGCTTTGGCGCACGTGCGACCTTAATCCTATGCCGTCACCGTGGATACATTCTTAAAAACTAATATCACAAAATATGTTAGTTTAGTCTTTCCTCTTCGTTAACCAATGTATGTATGTTCCTAGTTTTCTTTCAATTTCTTTTCATCCTCAAGGATTTTATCGCTATAGCATGAATGTATTACCTCGACGCGGTGCGGGGGGTTAAGCGAGGGGTAGGGGTGAGCAGCTTCGTTTGTGTAAATTTTATTATATTTGTCCGCTTCGTCGTAGTCAATTTGGGTTATGAAAATCTATAAAAATAATATTACCTAATAAACGTACTACTTTATACGAAGAAGCGCATAAAACTTATTGTCGTCGGCGCTTTACTTTCCAGTTTATGAGGAGCTGCTCTCGAATGAGATATGTTTATTATATCATTCAAGTATATCTAGTCCAGTAGCGACACCACATCCACTGACGAGTTTCATCAACAATACCAACGTCAGGCTCTCCTTGAACTGATCCAAAGTTATTTACTTAACATTTAACAAAATATTAATTGTTAAGATTCGAATGTATTTCCGTTATTTATATTATCCATTAATGAATCAACGAGCGACTTTCTGTCCAACAGAAGTTACTGTGCAATTAAAAATTAAACCGGACATCTTGTCACTTCAAAGGACTGAATTAATTACCTAGCTAATATTTTTCTTTGTAATTCAAGAGACAAAGAAAGTAAAATCTGTCGAGAGTTTTTCTTTTATCCTAAATAAGTGACTGGTATTTATTTATAGCAGCATTGAGATATATTTACTCCGTCAACAAATTAAATAAGGCAGAGCAGGAAGGAAGGAACTGAAGACGACGAATTGCTCAACAGAATTAATAACATTTGCTTCACTTTATCGTGTAAACATACTGAGGTGCCTTTACCAGAACATTCTTACTTCTTTGTGTCTGTGAAAAATATACTTGTGAAGAATAGAGGGAAACGAAACGAAAGGGGCGGCGCGACGGCGGAGCTGGCTGATGTAAACATCAGTTGGTAACTTATACTTTATCAGTGAACGCGGTTGATAGTTAAGTTTGTGTATGTTGGAAACTTTGCTCTTCGAAGTAAGCATATCGGAGAGCTTGTCACATAACTGTATACCAATAATGAGGCACATGATGTACCATTTGTATATTGCTTGTCATTGGGAAGAGACGTACACTTTGCGATATGCAGAAGTGCTATTTCTCATTAGACGTACAAAAACAATCCAACAGCAGTTGCAAATAATGATGGAAAACTATGGTAGAGATGAATTCCACATTGGTATTTGTTTAAGATCCCAAAACCCCAAACTTCGACCTCTGAAATATTTCATGAATTAATTAAAAATATTCGAGGAGAGCTTCGGAGATAAAGCAATTATTTTAGAAATTCCTAATGTTCCCTTTGGATGTTCGAATTTAAACTCTAGTGCGAAAGGCAGGGGATTGTTATTTATAAAATAATCATAAGTAAATGGAAGATTTATCGTTAATATGATTTGTCCAGACCGATTGAGACCCTTTTAATTTCCTGAAAATGTTGTAATATAAAAATGGTGTGAGAATTAGGATTGTGTTTTGCGTAACTTTATTGAGATTGTGTACAGTAAATATTTCAGGTTTATCCTAAAAAATAATTAATCAAACGGAGCGGCAAAATCAAGGCATATTTGAAGGGTGTCGGTATTGCGGGGAACGGCAGCGCCTTTGAAATAACCTCATGGAAAATTGATTCTAATCATAAATGCATTCGCTTTGATCAAATTGACAGGTTAACAGTTTGGATATTATTTATACAACGTGAGATATCTCGTTGGTGATTACTGAAACATATTGCGATTGAGGATTTTGAATCGATGTTTCTGAATCACATTAACATCTGTTAGTTTCGTTTGTCTATGTACGAATCGAATGACACGCCTCATGACAGTCGACAATATCTGCCCGTTGTAGACTACGAGAGGTTACAATAGGATGGACATACAAACCCACATGCATATAAAATTACATAGAGTAACATTATTTACAATGTGTTTAGTTTTGCTCTATTTTTGGATATATAAAAATATTAGTGTATGATGGCTTTCAGTATTGCTCTTGAACATTCAATTTAGGCAGTCGCTGTCACATTGTGAACGCTTCGAATAGGTAAGTAGCTGTTATAGAAATAAGTCGTTACAAAACACAAAATCTAATCAGTTTATATTCTTGTTATAGTTATTACACAGTAAGAGGTCTGGTTATTAATTATTGAATTGAAATAGTTATATAAATTCATAATGCCCTGGCTCAATGCATTCGTAACGCGGCCTCTCAGCGGCAACACAATGGGCAAAGTTGGCTTTACAATTCTATGGCAAATTGATTTTGTAGAAATTGTATCAATTTGAATTAATTTCATTAATGATAAATTAACTAGATATATATATACAACATGTGAAATAATATAAATTGAGCTTTAAATAAAAATAACTTTTAAATACGAGTACATTTACTGTTTCAGAATCAGCATTACATGTACCATATTGTATTCAAACTGTATGCCTGTGTTGTTTGCCAACTAGATAGCGGACATGCGTCGTCCTACATTTCATCGTCGCCGTCGTGAGCGACGTCGTCCGCGTGCCGGGTGCGGGGGGCGCGGGGGGCGCTGAGGGGGGGCTCATATCACTCAATACGCGGATAAATATTTATTGGTGCTCGCTGAGAACCTATATCCAATAGAATGTGTACGTTTCATTGTTTGTTCAGAACATATTGGCAAACACGAGCGGCCGGTGTGACGTCAGCCGGCGCCGGACATGATCGACGACCGCCGACCCCCCGCACCCACCGCTCCGCTTCCGTCGACGATGTAATAACTAAAATTAATTTTATAATAATAATTCAAGCTTATATTTAAATGTATTAAAATGCACTCATTCTACCAAAACAAACTTGTCTGTTCAATGTTAAGACAGTTCAAGTTTCCTAATAAAATAAGTTAAGTTATAACTAAGTGTAAAACTAATTGCGTCAACTACTTGGGTTAATATCATTCCGAAGTAGAAATTCGAATTGAAAACACTTTGTTATTTCAAAAACGTTCGCCGCTCAAGTAAATAAACTGTTAAGACTTCGTTAAAATAATACAATGGGAATTATTCAGACTCGAAATCGAATTTAGCAGCGGTCGTTTGTGTTGAGAGTGTCCTCCTGCCCTAAGAAGATTCTTTATGGACTTGGAATTATTGCCAACTCAATATTTTAAATAGCGCGTGATGATTGAATTACTTGCTACGTAAGATATTTATATTTTTCATTAAATAAATGAATTTAAATTGTATACAATAAGTATAAATGGAAAGTCTTAGCAATGTTTAACCCGAAACAGAGTTTAGTAACAATCCTCTAAACCTTACCCGAATATTGTCTCTATTTTACAATATCCCGCTAACACTAGGAACGATAAAGTACGATGCGGGCTTCGACCGCAACCTTTTACTTATAGGTCTTATGAGGATGATTCAGCCCACACTAAGTAGTGAAAAAAAATGTACTGTACCTTGCAGCATTTTACACAATTTTAAAATAAGTTTGGTTTTTAATACACACACCATAGAATGTCCGTTTGTTCCTAAAAAACAGCAAAAAGAAAGTTAGTCTAAAGCTTAAAAAGCATCATGTTATAAAAAGTTATTTTGCGATCGTTTAATAATTAGTTAATAAGTAAACGTGAATCTGCGACTAAGCATCTCAAGTATATTTGAGCGATTATCGTTGAGGTGTTATCACTGCGGCACACTCGTAGGCGGCCTGCGTCGCTACGTCGCTACGCGCTACGAGCCGGCGACGTGTGCCAGGTTATCAGCGAAGGCAGGCAGTCAGTTCGCGCGCCGCGCTCGCCACGGCTGCATGTGTCTCTAGTTCAATCGCTCGGGAAACTTTATTCGCTCCCGTCACATCCACTTCGGAATTGGATTTCTGTTTAAGTGATTACAATTAACGAGAAATATAACTTTTGAAATTAACACATGTGATCATCACTTTATTTACTTTGGAATATATACAAGTAAGTTTACATACTTTTGAACTATTTTGGATAAAAATATGGTTAACCTATGGTTATTTTTCAATTAATGTATTAAAACTATGGCCGTTTTACTAACAGTCGCATTAATTTCTTAAATACTGTGTAGTTTTGTAAACAACTCTGACTTCTCTATTTATATAAAATTTATCTGTTTTTATAAAATTCTTCTAAAGTGATGGACTTTACATTTTCTTTTAATTTTATAAGTTCTCAAAATACTTTTTACATCTAATATGCAGCTTGTTATTCCTTAAAATTGCGTTGACCCCAGACTTTATAATATGTTACTCTAGTGGATCGAAGTAATCGTGGCCTCTTTAACTTTGTGCGACCATTTCCTTCTAGAGCATTTACTTTTTGCGTTAAATTTGCACACCATTACAGAATTGAATAACAATCTATTAAACATTCCCACAAAGCCTCTGAGGCAAGAAGCTACATCATTTGTTATCAAAGCATTGTTTAGTCTGTTTTGTCGGCGAGTATCCCGGTCTGTCCTCCGCGCGCTGATACCATTATCAGCGGTTAAATTTCACGCCGGTTGCGAAAACACGCACAAATTGTAACTATATTATTATTTATCAATTTCGTACCGACAGAACTGAATGGATATTTCATAAATGCTGATCGTTTTTATTTCGTCGTCGATCGTTCGATCGTGTTTACCAAACACACGTACATTAGAGTTGTCGCTTCTAATAACCATACTTTATGGCGGAGATTGACAGAATTGTAATAAGGGACATAGTGTTCTTAAACGCGCGTAGAAATGTTATGATAAAATTTTCTTAACGTATCAGAAGCGCTGAATTCAAATCAAGATTATGGTTTGTAAAGATTTTATTTTACATGACCAGCGAAATTGGCAACTGACGCTATGCAAACTGCTCTCGTGCACTTCTTTAGGTAAATAATTTTGGTACACTGACTGAATGTCTGACAGGTTTGAGTATTATCTGAGTTGAATAATAAAAAGTAGGTTACGGGAGCGAAGTGTGAAGCCAAATCGCACAGTTTACGTCAGACAGTCAGCGACAGACAGACGGACACTGCCCGCAGTCTCGGACCCCTACGCCGTAGCTTGAATATACATATTTCTTACTCAAATGTAAGGTTGAATCCACGAGTAACATAGCGTATCTCCTTGAAGCTGCTGGAACTGTTGTTGCTATATTAGATAAAGATGAAAGAAGTGCAGTTCATTAAAGAGCCGAAAACAGAAAGTGGTAGAGCGAGGTCTCTTTCTGTTGGCATCGCCGCCTCGTCTTCGCGGGAAGTGCTTATCAAAGGACGGCAAAGTCTCCTTGTACCAGAAATTATCAACGTCTACCTTGAGTGCACGGAGGTTGAAATTTGATAGTAGATACATTGAAATTAAAATTTACATAAACGTTGAAATGCTAATGTTAATTTCTAGAAATTAAGTTGGTATATCATATTTTTATATGAGTACTAGCTTTCGCCCGCGACGCCGTCCGCGTGGAATTATATAAAAAACAAAAATGAGTAGCCTATGTGTTCTTCCAGACTATGCTCTTCGTCTATGCCAAATTTCATCGAAATCCGTTCAGCCGTTTAGGCTACAAACTCTAACAAATATCCATCCATCCATATAAACTTTCGCATTTATAATATTAGTTAGAGTAGTTAGATTACAATGCTAAAAATTATAATGAATGAATGTATTAGAATATTTAAAGTCCAAAGCTAAGGCTAAGCCTGAGGCTTATCCGAATGCGCTGTGCCCGCGCCGGGCATTCTGTAATTGATTGCTCCTGTGTACCGCCGGAGCGGCTTGGGGGACCCTTTAGAAGTTTTAGGACCTTCCATGACTACATACAAGTATTATTATATTATTTAATATTTAATGGTACCCAGTAGTAACATTTCAATTTAGTGATCACTTGATAAATGTTCATTTCATAATTCATTCATATGTAGGTATGCAATGAACATTTTACAAATTGTACTGTTTATAATTGGCGAGCATTAGTTAAT